CCTCACTAGTTCTCCGCCAAATGGATTGCCTTTGCTTGCAAATTCAACCACTGATTTTTAAATGAAAGTTTTTCTTGGAAGACTCAAGTCAAGTTTCACTAAGATGGAACTTTAACTGGTTGTTCTTGAAAAGGAGAACTAATGCCAATATATCTAAGCAACATAAAACTGAATTGTTCTCATTTGCAGAATCTGTTTAGTTTTATCTTATCGGGTAAACCGATAACCGAACCGATAATGATCAATAATCGATAAACCGATAATCGATAACCGATAATCAATATCTTATCGATTTGGTTATCGGTTTATCATATTTATAAAATGATAACCGATAAGCAAAATCGATAATATTCATAACCGAACCGAACCGACCGATGCCCACCCCTAATAGAAGGCCAGGGTAGGCTGCTAGATCAGATTTGCTTCTTTGGCTAGTGTCACATCCTTGCACAACTAACTGGACATCTTTCCTGATATCCTTCCAGTAAAATAGTGTCATAAGACTTTTTAATGTTGCTTCAATGCCTGAATGACGTCCTTGTGGAGTGGAATGCCATAGCCAATGATGTGTGTTCTCAGCTGCTGAATGTTGCCTAGTACCAATTTCCCTTTTCTCCTCAATTGGTTGTGCTGCCAAATGTATTGTGAGTGTGTTGAGGGATTAGCTATTAGTTGCTCGATCAATGCTTTGAGCTCAGAGTTTGTCTCCCAACTATCAATGATGGCTTGCAGCAGATCAGAACTAGTAGTAGATAGTACAAGACAGAATAGTTCAGCTCCAGGCATCCTAGAAAGGGCATCGGCCACCTTATTTGTGACTCCACTTTTATACTTAATGACATAGTCAAAGGACATACCATTGTAACTCATTACACATAGTAGGTATTACTTGAATCATACAAAGCTCATAATGATTACCTATAGCTCTAGTTAATCTCCCCACTCTAGTAGCTATGACATGTTTCTGCTCCTCTTAGAACGTGCTTCCTTGCTTTGTAGTAGAACTCTATAGTAAGAGTTTTAAAATTCATCTTTATATCTCCGAGCGTTAATAGACACTGAACTCTAAGCACTACACCACATGATCCTAGAGGCAATAACAAGAATTCAGCAGAGAATTCAACCCCTTGCAACAACTAAGAAATTTTGTGGTAAAAGACTCTTCTAGATCGTGGTAACTGTTTAGGTTCCACAAACAATTCTTTAAATTCTTTCAGTAAGGTTAACAGTTGTGGATCTACATTGTTTTGTTCTTTAGACTCTAAGGAATACCATTGTGACTCATTACACATAGTAGGTATTACTTGAATCATACAAAGCTCAGAATGATTACCTATAGCTCTAGTTAATCTCCTCACTCTAGTAGCTATGACATGTTTCCTTCTCCTCCTAGAAATCAAACTTCACTCAAATTAACTTTTTTTAAAAATATTTGAAAATCTATAACCAAACGTTTCCTTAATTTCCTTTTTCGGAATATTTCCCTAACTTTTGTCAGAGTGAAGTGAATACCATATTTTCTTTTACAAATTCGTCACAATTTTGTAATGGACCTGTCCGTTATGAATATTCTGTCACAAATATGTATTTGTCTTGTCATAAATTGGCAAAATAACCCTGTCAGTAATGACAATAAGCAAATAGATATACGAGATCAATTCATCATAGAAGCAATTTAAAAAGGTGAAATTTAGCTCAAGTGCTACAAGACTCTTGATGAGAGAGCAGATATTTTGACAAAGGCACATCATAAGGATCAATTTTTTCTATCTTAGAGAGTTACTTGGACTTGTAAAATAATTGAGTTAAGAAGAAATGTTAAGATTAGTGCACTTTTAATTGTATTCAACTTCTAGATTATTTAGAAAAAATTTAGCTAGTCAGTGTAGAATAAAGCAAGTTTGAGTCGAGTCAATAAAGAGAGTAGTAAAGTTTGTTAAATTTTTGAGAGACTGACATAATTGGTCGTTCGGCACAAACTTAAGACAACCGCTAGCCCATTATATTTGATTGCAAGTTATAGCCAAAAACTTATTGCATTGGCTACAACAAAACATGGGGGAAGTGCACGGTTAGCCACTAATAACACATGTATTTATTTTTAAGCCACTGTTTAAAATGTCTTTAGTCTTTAGCGACTACTTTAATAAATTTTAACTGCCCGGACGAAAATATCCTTCTGTTCATGTCCTTAACTTTTGAACTTAACATCAGGACTACATGTCCTTAACTTTTGAACTTGTAACTCTAAGTTCAGGACTTCAGGACTACATGTCTTTAACTTTTGAACTTAACTTCAGGACTTTAGGGACTACATGTCCTTAACTTTTGAACTTGGAACTCTAAGTTCAGGATTACATGTCCTTAACTTTTGAACTTAACTTCAGGACTACATGTCCTTAATTTTTGAACTTGGAACTCTAAGTTCAGGACTAACTTCAGGACTACATGTCCTTAACTTTTGAACTTGAAACTCTAAGTTCAGGACTAACTCCAGGACTACATGTCCTTAACTTTTAAACTTAACTTCAGGACTTTAGGGATTACATGTCCTTAACTTTTGAACTTGGAACTCTAAGTTCAGGACTACATGTCTTTAACTTTTGAACTTGTAATTCTAAGTTCAGGACTACATGTCCTTAACTTTTGAACTTGGAACTAAAACCAAACAAAAATAGGAAAACTATCCCATATAAATAAATAACATGGGTTAAAACAGAGTTCGTTGTGACTTGCGGCCTACTCTGTTCTCTCACATTCTTCTACCAAAACAAAAGCCTAAAATAATACCAAATTTCATCTCATGGATTGGGTTCGTGGTAAAGCTGTTGGTCAAGCAAGTTTTGGAAAAGTCAATTTTGCAATACCCACAAAGCAGAGTACTCAAATTCTTCCATTGATGGTAGTAAAGTCATCTTGGGTTTCCCACTCTGCTACTCTCAGCAACGAGAAGAAAAGCGTATTTCATTTGGGAAGGAATGGGTAACACTGTCTTTTCATATTAATTTTAATAGACTAGTGGCTACTTTTGCTCAGCATTAAAAATACTGAATAAAAAGTAAATACCATTTTAAAAAGTGGCTACCCCACACAACTTTTACCCAAAACATTCGCTAACCCCCACCTTATTTTTTTTATTCAACCTCTTTGCTACGCCCAGCTCCACCATCCAAACAATTATCATAACCCATCATAATTATCAGTGTTTACTTTCTCAATTTGATAGTTTCTGTAATAAGATTGATACATGCACTTAATAGATTTTATTTTTATTTAAGATATATTTATACAGAAAAAAATTCGCTATAGATGGCGGGTCGTTTTACTGTACATTACTTCATTGATAATGAAAAATTTTTAGTTGGCAAAAAAGAATAATCAATTTTCTGTTTTTGCTTGTTTTGCATCTTTCCTATTGAAAATTCGGTAAAAACTGAACATGAAAAAAATGATATGTGTATCACACTATGTATCATTTGTGTATCATATTTGTATCTATTGTGTATCACATGTATATCCATATATACTTGTTTGTGAGATACATACGTGATACATGTTTGATACATGTGTACTTTTTTGAACTCGATTTAATTATAAATTTTGATAAAAAAAACCCAGTCCAAATCACCTCCAATCTTCCTTAAATTTTGTATATTGACTTATCTATATATTTTCAATGAATTTCAACTATACCCATTGAAAAAGTTTATTTTTTGTTTAGATTTTTGGAATATTGTATATATTTTTTGTATTTCATCACCTTATTTGCTACCTCATCCATAAAATTTCCTTTTCTTCTTGTATCTAGTGTTGCTAATCACGCTTAAAAGATGAAAGGTGATTTTTGCATGTGATTCTTTGAGAGAAAGAACCCTATTATTTGGTTTTTCAATTTTTGTTGGCTAGTTTTGGTAAGTCTATGATTAATGGCTAAAGGTTGGTAAGTTGAGATTTATTTGGGACATTTGTGTAAGTTTGAGGGGCTATAGAGGTAGTTTTCTCAAAAAATTTCGAAGTAACTTTTGTTGTTTCAAGTTCCTATACACGACTAGATTGCTCCTGAGAATAGTATAAATAGGAGAATTTTGTAATTCCCCTATGCAATACAAATAAGATTTTCAGAGAAAATTCCACTCCAAGGTCTACTCTTTCTTAGCTCTCTTTAAATAACTTCCTTCACGTGTAAAATTCAGCACCACAATAACAACATATCTAATCACAAGTAGGATTTGGGAAGGATGGTGAGTACGCCACCTTACTCCTACCTCGTAGAAAAGCCCTTCATTTCTTGAAATTTTGCCTATTCAATCAGATACAACTTGATGTGGAATCCTTCGAACTGCTCTTAGGTTCTTACCTACTTCAACATCAGACAATGGAACAACAAGCCATGGATTTTCTTGAAGTAGCCATTGAATAAGTTATATCATTCTCACTGGATGAGATGAACACTATTTTAACAATATCATCTAACAGCATTTGTAAATTTTAATGAGAAATGTCTGACATACTACTAGTTACATCTGTTCAACGTTTCTACATATGAGATAATCTCTTTCCTCTGAAGAAGACAGGACAAAAATGAGGATCATGATTTTGTAAATTGTTGCCTTCACCATCAATAGGTATTCTCAGAACCTGGAAACAGGAGAAATCATGATTGACTAACCACAAAATAATTCCACAATATATTTTATTTATAATGTTAAACATAATAGTGTTATTATAAGCAGTGGCGGAAGCAAGATCTCCACGAAGGGGGTTCAAAAAGAAAATTTTGTAGCTAGTGGGAATTGAACCTAGGACCTTATGAAGGTTTTGAACCACCTTGACCACTAAACTACACTTTTGGGTTGTGTTAAGGGGGATCAAAACTTAATATATAGAGGTAAAAAATAGATTTTACCTATACAAGTGTAATTTTTCGGCGAACCCCCTTCCACCCCCTAAATCCGCCCCTGATTATAAGACTCATACAAACCACCAACTTAACTAACTCCCTAAGCTTTATAGCAAACTTCTCCATCGCTAATCCACCCTTCTTTTGATTTAATTTCCTCCTCTTCAAGCTCTTTTTCTTCTGCCTCTGCATCTATGTTGCATCCTTTGTTCTCTTCCAGAGCACATTTGGGGTGGAGATCAAAATCACACTCTTCACAACAGAATGACCACACTCGTCCCTCGCCATTGCATCCATCACAGTTATAAAACAAGTGCTTTGTAAGTACGAGTTCATGCTCATGGAGAGCGTGATTCACATTCTCAGGCCACCCCTTTGCCATCTCCTCATATTGTGCCTCAATCTGCTTCACGCGCTCCTCTATGAACGGATAAGCATCAACACCAAAACAAATAACTAGATTTCTGGCTTCAGTTGTAACAGTCCTGCCTGTTAGCCTAATAGCAACCAACATGGGGATATCACAAACTTTGAACAGACTACTCAATCACACCTTCCTTTCATCACCAAAGGGAAGAGCCAGCCATGACATTGTGGCAAAAAATTCATCAAAGGAGGCCTGATCTCTATCACTAGATATGAATACAACCTTTAAAGAATCATCATTCACTTTAATCTTGTCATATGCTTCTGTAAGCTTTGGTAGGAAAGCACGACACGGAGGACACCAGTGTGCAGAAAGGTAAAGAAGAACATTCTTCCCAACAAGAGCAGACACTAGAATCTACAAAGAAAAATCTCTGATGACTGACTATAAGTGTGGGAAGGCAGGTAAAGACATCAACAGAAATGGGATGGAAGATGGTTATGATTGGCAAAGAAAAATATATAAGAGCACATCTCATGTCAAAATCAGAAAAAAAAAGATAATAACTCGACTAGCAAAGTCAGAGTTATCAAAAAGTCACGTTAATATAACTAGAGTTACCAAATTATGAAAGTAAACATAAGTATCTCACCTTAGCACCATCCTTCCCAATAACAAAATCATGATCTCCTGAAACCAAAATTGACTCAAGTGTCTGCGCTTCTCGATTAGCTTTCTCTATCTTCTCAAGTTTTGCAAATCTCTCAGGTGTAAAAGGGTATGCTTGGATGTCGTGCTCCTCTATGGCTTCAGCTACATTAGAATGAAGAGCCTTCCCATCTGGCGAACTGATCACCAATGTAGGAAGTTTAGATAGTTCAGCTTCTCGCAGCTCCTGTCCTTCAAGGGGAAGTGAAAACCAAGGCAAGTTAGCAAATACTTGTTTAAATGACTCTTCATCATCATCAAGCGGAATCATCAGAATGTCAAAGTTTTCTCCCAGTTCCTTCAACTTTTTTATATACTTCAACCAGTTTTGGAGTGAAAGAAAGGCATCCATTGAATGCGGCCAACGACAAATAAAGGCCTACAGTCTTGCCTTCAAGTTCACAAACTGCTACCTGATAGATATTAAATCATAGTGAAATAGCNTGGAAGACTCAAGTCAAGTTTCACTAAGATGGAACTTTAACTGGTTGTTCTTGAAAAGGAGAACGAATGCCAATATATCTAAGCAACATAAAACTGAATTGTTCTCATTTGCAGAATCTGTCTAGTTTTATCTTATCGGGTAAACCGATAACCGAACCGATAATGATCAATAATCGATAAACCGATAATCGATAACCGATAATCAACTGAGGTATTGTCAACTTCAGAGATCAGTGTATTGTCAACTATTGATCAGTGTATTGTCCCTATTGATCAGTGTATTGTCAACTTCAACTGAGGTTGATTCACCTGGTAAGTAAGGAAGATGCAAGTAAGGAGGTCTGCCATATAGAACTTCGTAAGGGGTGGTTTTAATAGCTAAATGGTATGATGTATTGTACTAGTATTCAGCCATAGGTAGCCAAGAATACCATTTGGAGCTGTCTTCATTACAGAAACATCAGAGATATGTCTCCGGACATCTGTTTAGAACTTCAGTTTGCCCATCATACTGAGGATGATAGGTTGAGGAAGTGTTTAGTTGTACCCCTTGTATTGAGAACAGCTCTTGCCATAATGAACACAAAAACACTGCATCTCTAACACTAACAATCGAGACTGGGAGACCATGCAATTTGACTATGTTATCCAGGAATACCTTGGCTATTGATTGGGCAGTATAAGGATGCTTTAAGGGAATGTAGTACCCATACTTACTTAGTCTGTCCACAACCACAAGAATGACTTCATAACCATGGGATTTGGGCAACCTATCTATAAAAAGTCCATGTTGATTTGTGACCACACCACATCTAGAGTAGGTAGTGGTTGTAAAAGGTAATGGTGGGCATATATCGGGTAAAACCGATAACCCGAAACATTAAATATTTATTGGGTTATCGGTATTGGGTTACTGGGCTAACGGTTCGATAACGGGTAAAAATTTTTTTATTGGGTTATCGATTCGGGCTCGGTTTGGCAATTTTGTTATTGGGTAAAACCGATAATCCAATAAGGGTTAACTAATTTACTAGTTTACCCTTAAATATATACATACTAGGGTTTCATATACATAGTTCTCACTTCTCAGTTTCTCCGCCTCACACCCTGTCGCCCTCACCGGTTCTCCGCCAAATGGATTGCCTTTGCTTGCAAATTCAACCACTGATTTTTAAATGAAAGTTTTTCTTGGAAGACTCAAGTCAAGTTTCACTAAGATGGAACTTTAACTGGTTGTCCTGTTACTCAATCAGATGATATTGGTGCTTTTGGCAGCAAGAAAATCTTACAATTAGAAGAAACATTTTCTATCAAAAGAATATTGATCAATTGAAAAGGAGAACGAATGCCAATATATCTAAGCAACATAAAACAAAATTGTTCTCATTTGCAGAATCTGTTTTAGTTTTATCTTATCGGGTAAATCGATAATGATCAATAACCGATTAACCGATAACCGATAACTAATATCTTATCGATTTGGTTATCGGTTTATCATATTTATAAAACGATAACCGATAGGCAAAATAGATAATATTCATAACCGAACCGAACCGACCGATGCCCACCCCTAGTAGAAGGTCAGGGTAGGCTGTTAGATCAGATTTGCTTCTTTGGCTAGTGTCACATCCTTGCACAACTAACTAGACATCTTTCCTGATACCCTTCCAGTAAAATAGTGTCATAAGCCTTTTTAATGTTGCTTCAATGCCTGAATGACGTCCTTGTGGAGTGGAATGCCATAGCCAATGATGTGTGTTCTCAGCTACTGAATGTTGCCCAGTACCAATTTCCCTTTTCTCCTCAATTGGTTGTGCTGCCAAATGTATTGTGAGTGAGTTGAGGGATTAGCAATTAGTTGCTCGATCAATGCTTTGAGCTCAGAGTTTGTCTCCCAACTATCAATGATGGCTTGCATCAGATCAGAACTGGTAGTAGATAGTACAAGACAGAATAGTTCAGCTCCAGGCATCCTAGAAAGGGCATCGGCCACCTTATTTGTGACCCCACTTTTATACTTAATGACATAGTCAAATGACATAAGCTTAGTTAGCCACATAAGCTGAGAGTTGGTCCGAAACTTTTGTTCCATTAAGAACTTCAAAGCTCTTTGGTCAGTTCTGATGATGAACCTTTGGCCAAGCAGATATTGAGACCATTTAGTGACTGCATGAACTATGGCTAATAGCTCTCTGTATTACACTAAGAGTGCCATATGCCTGGTAGATAATTCTTTGTTGATAAAGGCTATGGGGTGTCCTTATTGCATGAGAACAGCACCAATCCCATGTCCACTGGCATCAGTTTCAACAACAAAGGTTTTGTTAATATCAGGAAGTGTCAATATAGGAGCTTTTGTCAAGGCTTCCTTTAATTCTTCAAAAGCAGCAGTAGCTTTGGGCGACCATTTGAAGTTATCCTTCTTCAAGAGGTCTGTTAATGGTTTGCAAATAATCCCAAAGCTTTGTATGAACCTTCTATAGTAGCCAACTAAGCCAAGAAATCCTCTCAGTTGTTTAATGTTGGTTGGTATGGGCCAGTTTCTGACGACTTCTATTTTTTGAGGGTCTGTTGATACTCCTCCTTCAGTAATGAAGTGGCCTAAATACTCTATCCTTTTAACTCCAAAGAAACACTTACTCTCTTTAGCAAATAGATGGTGTTTCTTTATATCAAGGAATACAGATCTGAGATGCCCCAAGTGATCCTCCATGCTCCTACTATAGATGAGTATATCATCAAAGAAAACTAGTATATACTTTTTGAGAAAAGCCTGAAAGACAGAGTTCATCAAGCCTTGGAATGTTGCTGGTGGATTTGACAGACCAAAGGGCATCATCAGGTACTCATAGTATCCTAAGTGAGTCCTAAATACAGTCTTAGGCACATCTTCTTTTGCCATTCTAAATTGATGATATCCAGACCTTAGATCTATTTTAGAGAAGATCTTAGACCCTCTCAATTCATCTAACAGATCTTTCACCATAGGTATGGGAAACTTATTCATTATAGTGTGTTTGTTTAGGTCCCTATAGTCAATACATAATCTCCAAGACCTATCCTTCTTCCCAACTAAGACAATAGGGGCAGCAAAAGGACTGCTGCTAGGTTGTATAATTCCCTGGTCTAACATTTGTTGTACCAGGGATTCTATCACATCTTTCTTCACTGAAGGAAACCTATAGGGTCTTTTATTTATAGGTTCAGTTCCTGATTGCAACAACATAATTATGTGGTAAAAGACTCTTCTAGATCGTGGTAACTGTTTAGGTTCCACAAACAATTCTTTAAATTCTTTCAGTCAGGTTAACAGTTGTGGATCTACATTGTTTTGTTCTTTAGACTCTAAGGAATACCATTGTAACTCATTACACATAGTAGGTATTACTTGAATTATACAAAGCTCATAATGATTACCTATAGCTCTAGTTAATCTCTCCACTCTAGTTGCTATGACATGTTTCCTGCTCCTCTTAGAACGTGCTTCCTTGCTTTGTAGTAGAACTCTATAGTAAGAGTTCTGAAATTCATCTTTATATCTCCGAGCGTTAATAGCCACTGAACTCTAAGCACTACACCACATGATCCTAGAGACAATAACAAGAATTCAGCAGAGAATTCAACCCTTTGCAACAACTAAGAAATTTTGCACATCTTGTCAACCTTTAGCATGTTGCCATTAGTTGCAGCCACCAATTGGGGAGTGGTTGGCATGATAGGACACCCAAGTTTGGATACTACTTCAAGATCAATGAGATTATGGGAGCTTCATGTATCCGCCAATATCTGTAGGGCCTTCTTAGAGTGGTAACCAGTCACTCTCAAGGTTCTAAATCCCAAGGATCCATTCAGAGCATGAATAGATATTTCTAGTTGGTCCAAAGGTTGAGCCAACTCTAATCCTTGCTCCTTCTATATCATCTTTAAGTAGCTGGTTTTCTTCTGGTTCTTCTAGTTCCCACAGATACAAGTGCTTAAGGTTTTTGCACTTGTGACCTGGCACATACTTCTCATTGTAGAAGTAGCATAAATCTTGAGCCCTCTTCTCATTCATCTCTTCTACACTCAATATTCTTCTATTGTACCCTTTATGAGTTGTCAAGTTACTTGAATTAGAGGTTGGTAGAAGAGGTCTATTGTAGGCTTTTGGATCTCCATACCTTTTAGCACTTAAACTGTTGGCCACCTTGATCCGTGGCAGGATATTTGATAGCAGTAAGATAAGCTTCTTGTAGCCTGGCAGTCTTGTAAGCTTGAGACAAAGTGGTGGGATTTGTTAACTTTACTTCTATGTTTAACTCATGTTTCAACCCACCTATAAAGCAACTAATCGCATTTTCTTCTGACAAATTCACACTAGTGAGATTCCTTTCAAATATGGCTTGGTATTCCTTGACACTTTTAGTTTGCTTGATCTTTTTGATTTCTTCCATCGGATCATCAAAATCGGCTCCAAACATTTCCACCATTACCATAATATATTCATTCCATGTAGCAGGATGAAGATATTGTCTGTACCTCATGAATGATAAGTGCCATTGGATGGCTTCACTCTCTAACTGCATTGCTGCCACCTCCACCTTCTCTTCGGCAACTACTTTCTCAAAGGAAAAGAACTATTCGATCTTGTATAGCCAAGATCTCAAATCTTCCCCAGCAAATCTCAAATATTCCACCCTAGACCATCGTGAAAAGTTGAAATTGTGACCATAATGATGACCATCATTCCTTTCTCTCTGAGGACTTTCATCAGATGGCTCTTCTTCATGCTCTAATGGAGTTTTATCCCTTCGTTGGCCAGTAGCAGCTGTCACATGCTCTTGCAACTCAAGCACAATTTGATCTAACCTTTTAAGATTAGAAACCTCCCCTGATAAAGACCCGATCTCAGAATCATTTTTTGCATCA